TCACCCTCCGCCCGGCAGACATGTTACACACGCAGACCTCACCCTCCTGCGGTGGACACGTTACACACGGCAGAGCTCACCCTCTACCTGGCTTCTCTTCTTCTCTCTCCCCAAGGCACGGAGCAGTGAGGCCAAGCACAAGCCCAGATCCCGCAGCTGGAGCCAACCCAAGGGCTGAGGCGGAGGCCGTGGCCGCCAGGGAGGGGTTAGAGCCTCAGAGTGAGGAAGGCTCTTCACCACCATGCCTTCCAGTAACGCTGCTCGGGAGGCTGCATTTTAGTTTCCGTGGGCGCACTGGATACAGTGCTGCAGCTACTTTAAAGAACTGATGCTGCTGGTGATTTACAGACAAGGAAAAGTTGCAGATGTTTGCATCTCCTTTAGAGAGGAGAGACTGTCCTCAGCGCCCGAGTAAAGCTGCAGTCGGTAGTTAGACACGGAGAGTTGTGCGCTCGGAATTCTTGCCCAATAACCCTGAAGCTTCAGGGTTTCTAGATCCCCTTCCTCAGCCAGGGACTGCTCTCTGTGTGCTCTCTGTCTGGGGTTCCTTCCTGCTCGCCTGGGAGTTCCGATTCCAGTGTAGGAAGGTGAGGTTTCCCCAGAGCCTCTGGGCTCCCGTCTGCTCTTTGGCGCCCTTGGTGTAGAAAGCAGTTCCCTGGGCTGCTCCTGGCACCCTCGGTGTAGACAGCGGTTCCCCGGGCTGCTCCTGGTGCCCTCGGTGTAGACAGCGTTCCCCAGACTGCTCCAGGCACCACTGGTATAGACAGCGTTTCCCAGGCTGCTCGTGGAGTCCTCAGTGTAGACACCATTCCCTGGGCTGCTCCTGGCACCATCAGTATAGATAGCGTTCCCTGGGCTGCTCCTGGTGCCCTCGGTGTAGACGGCATTCCCCGGGTTACTCCTGGTGCCCTCGGTGTAGACAGCGGTTCCTGGGCTGCTCCTGGTGCCCTTGGTGTAGACAGCATTCCCCGGGCAACTCCTGGTGCCCTCGGTGTAGACAGCGGTTCCTGGGATGCTCCTGGTGCCCTTGGTGTAGACAGCATTCCCCGGGCTACTCCTGGTGCCCTTGGTGTAGACAGCATTCCCCGGGCTACTCCTGGTGCCCTCGGTGTAGACAGCGTTCCCTGGGCTGCTCCTGGCACCATCGATATAGACAGTGGTTCCTGGGCTGCTCCTGGCTTCAGCTTCTCAGCCTTGTATCTACTCCAGCAAATAAGGCCAGGGGTCCCCTGTCCATCTTCTCTGCCTTCTCCAGTCAGGACCATGGAAGAGGCCACCGTGTGTGTGCGTGTCTGTGTCACTCACTGGCCATGCGACCGTGGGCAGGCCCCGTGGGTTCTTGTGCATGAATGGAAAAAGTGACCCCACAGCAGGGGCCGTTTTGAGGATATGAAATGCGAGGACACACAAAGCAATGCTGTGTATAAACAGTCGTCATCAACCACAAACTCTGTGCAGAGATTCTGGATACACAGAGCTTGACCTGCTTACACGCTTCCGGAACAGACACAGGACAAAGCCCGGAGCCATCAGCCTATCGGTCCTCACTCGCCTGCACCCCTCACTGAGCTGGGCTCCGCTCCGTCATTCAGCGCAGGTGGTGCTGGACAAAATCAGCATGTCCTGCTAAGAAGGACGATGACGAGGACAGAGACCCGAGGTTCTACTCCAGTTTGACTTCAAGGCCCCCATCTTATTTCCACCGGACAGCTGTGGCCACCGAGGAACGAGCTGATACAACAGCCCCCGTGGAGACGTGAGCGCTGGCCCAGGGCAGGGAGCACCAGCACTGACAGAGGTTTCCTGGGTTCTGACACTAGGATCTATTTCTCGTCACTCGCAATGACTTCTTTTCACAATACGCTGCCACCTACCCACTGCCCTGGGCCCTGTCATAGCAGGCCCTGCGCTCCATGTGGCTACTGCACGGGCGGCTCTGCACTGCAGCAGAGGCTGTCACTGCCATGGCCCCGTCATCCTGCTCGGGACGCCCCAGCAACAGGGACCTCCCTTCACTCAGAAGGCAGCTAGCAGCCCCCACGGCTCCCAGGCCCCGCTGTGAGTCCACAGCCTCTCCTCCTCTCCTTCCAGCCCAGCAGCCAGCCCGCCCTCACACTCGCCTTGCAAGCCCCAGCACCGTACGACTGCCGGGCCCCAGCTGGGCCCACGCACCACTATGGCCAGGCTTACCCTAGGGCCCCAGGAATCAAGCCAGCATGGAATTAGCCAAAGGACACGGACAGAGCAAGGAACAGAGCAGAGTGCAGGAGTCAACCCCACACAGTCAACGAACTTTCCACAAAGATCCAAAGGGCCGCTCGATGGAGGAGGGAGCCTTCCCACAAACAGTGCTGGAAAGGCTGCACACTCGTACGCTAAAATGATCTGTGGGCCATATCTTGCACTGTGCACAAAATGAATTCAAAATGGATCACAGTCGGAAATAACAGTGGTATTGACGCCTCTTCCTGTGTCTCTCATGACAGTGGTGGCTCTCTCAAGAGAGACATGAAGAGACGCCCGCACCACCGTCACGAGAGACAGGAAGAGGCGCCCGCACCACCGTCACGAGAGACAGGAAGAGGCGCCCGCACCACCGTCACGAGAGACACGAAGAGGTGCCCGCACCACTGCCATGAGGAACCAGGTGTTCAACACCACCCGTCATGAGGGAAACAGGACCCCAACAAGACCCCGTCACTGCCCGTTTGAGCAGCAGGCCCTCCTGACCTCCCGCCCTTTGCAGGGGACGGGGATAGTGCCGTTGCCATGAAGGACAGCTTGGCAGCTTCAGACAACCCTGCCATCCTGCTCCTAGGTATCTGCCCAAGTGAAATAAAAACCCAAGTTTGCACAGAAATCTGCCCACCAATGTTCACAACATCTTAAGTGTCATTGCCTAAAACAGGGTCACAAGCGGTGGCGCATCTGAAAGGGGAAAAGAAAAATGAATGAAACGACATGATATAAAATTAAAATTAATGCAGGAAAGAGGAGCAGAAATTAAATATTTCTTCTGTAAGCAAACTTCCCAGTCCTTCCCCTCCCACAGAACGGTATCTTGCTCTGCAACCTTTATAAGTTTACAGATTCCTGTATTCTTGTTCTCTATAGCCGATAACTGTGTATGTTCAGTGAAGGTCATAAGCAATGCGTCAGCAGGCTGGACCGCAGCCCCCTAGGTGCTGTCGCGGGGGGCAGCAGAACAGATAAGCCCCGTGTTAGAATCCCCGAGCTCCACACGTCATGAGCGCTGCATCGCGGGTCACATGTAAGACGACTTAAGTGTCTGTCATTGTCTGATAAACTGTCCTGTACTGCAAACTTGTTTTCGACCACTGTGTGCTTCAGGCATAAAAAGCAAGCCCTGTCTTTGCTGGGCACTCAGCCACTTTGGATGTGCATCTGAGCCGGGCCGGGCTATGCCTAAAATAAACTCCCTCTGCAACCTCAACGGTCTCTCCGGTCTCTGAACTCTGCGGCACACCCACACACGGATCCACTTGGTAGTGAAAGCAGCGGGCTCTGACGCACACAGCTCGGGCGAGGGCAGGTGGAACGAGTGCAAGCCGCCAGGCTCGGAGGCTCTGTCCCGCAGGATTCAACCACACGACCTTCCAGAAGAAGCAAAACCACAGGAAGAGAAACGGGAACAAGGGGCCGGGCCTCGGAGGCAGAGGAGGTGCTGACCACCAGAGAGGGAAAGTTTCTGAGAAGAGAAGCCTCCTCCACCTGACTGTGGCGTCACAGAACGAGGCGGGGCGCCTCCTCCACCTGACTGTGGCGTCACAGAACGAGGCGGGGAGCCTCCTCTATCTGACTGTGATATTTCTTCAGACTCACAGAACGGCACACCAGAGGGGGTGAATCTTACTGTGTATGCAGGTAAGCAGCTACACAGACAGACACGTGGGACTGTCTCACATTCACGTCCGCACCAAGAGCTCTCTTCTGTTCTGGACAGACTGAAAGGGCTGTACAGAAAGAAGTAGGGCGCCCCCCAGCTGTGGGCTCTGCTCACGGAAGGACGCGGGGCGCCCCCCAGCTGTGGGCTCTGCTCACGGAAGGATGCGGGGCGGCCCCCAGCTGTGGGCTCTGCTCCCCTAAGTCCCTGTGGAGGACCCAGGGCTGGAAGCGCTGGCTGAGATGAACGTCAGAATGGGATTGTTAGGGAAGGCTGGACAAGAGGGGTCCGGTGCCAGGAGCCCCTGTCTAGAGAAGACAGGCACTTGGGTCACTCACCCCACTCTGTCCCCCACACCCACCTCCCCTGGCACTGCATGGCACCCGGACTCCAGGCAGATGGAGGCTCCCACCACGGCTGACATGGTGTGGAGCCAGCAGCATGGGCCCAGCCTTCCTCTGAGATGTGCGCCAACCTGGTCTGAGCACTGCTGTTCTTTCCATGTGGCCCCAGTCACGCAGCCAGGGGCCAGCATGACACCCCCCCATCCACCAGACTGAGACCTGGGAGAAGGCTGGTCTGCCCGGAGGGGAGGTTGCAGTGCACCCCAAGTGCCCGGAGGGCTCTCCTGGCCTGGTGGCCTGTCCCACAGGGGAGCATCCTCCATACTGCCCTTCAGTCCAAATGTGGGTGGCTGGAGACAGGCCCACCTGGGCGGGGCCCCAGGCAAAGTGGGAGGGGAACGGGGCTGTGGGCAGTGCTTGTACCTGGCACGCGCGCTGCGGGGTTCAGGGGCCCAGACAGAGCCATGCCGATCTCAGTCATGCCGTACCTCTCCAGCAGGGTGTGGCCTGTGATGTTCTTCCATTTCTCCAGCACGGGGAGGGGCAGGGCGGCAGAGCCTGAGACCATGAGCCTACGCACAACCAAAGGCAGTCTTAGCCAGTTGGGGAGGCCGTGCGCGCAGAGGTGGCGCCCCTTCACCAGCGCAGCAGCCCAGGCCAGCACTGCAGCCTGCGCAACGGCGTGACTGCGCTTTTTGGAAATGATGTGTTGGGTATGTTTTAGAAGGTAAGCAGGCCTAACAGCTAATTAGGAAAACAATGCACTTAGGGTCCGTGGTGTTGCCCCCAAAGTTCCCGCGCTGTTCACAGCCGATGCTCAAGAACAGCAGTGAGCGCACAGCTGCTGATCACGGAGCCGACCACGGGGGAACAGCCACGGCGTAGCGGCTGCGGCCAGCCACCTCCGGGTATAGAGCCAGCTCAGCTCGCAGGCTCCACAGGAGAACAGGGACATGGATGAATGGGTGCAGCATCCAAGGGGTGAGGCCGGACACACCCAAAGGGCTCAGAACCGCCCACAGAGGGGGAGCCATCTCAGCTCTCAGGCTCGGCTCAGGCATGGCAGGATGAACCCTCCGAGTTCTGCGCTGCGCTCACACAGCATTCCCGCAGCCTCACGTGCAGAGGGAGGGTTAGAGCCCCCGAGTGCAGACGGAAGGCGCTTTTGTTTGGGCTTGAGCGGAGGAGTCCCTGCTGCTGCCCCTGCTTTATGAGGAGGCAGCACAGCCAGCACCCTGGCTGGGAAGTCCAGATGGCCGAGGTCTCCTTGCCTCTGTCACCACGGAAATCACGGGATCCTCTCCTTCACTGACCTCATTCTTGCCCTCGGTTCCTTAGATGTGGTAAAATGTACCGCTTATCCCGCTCAGCTTGGGATCTGCCCTGCCCCAGGGCACCCCAGGGTGGGGCTTTTGGCAGGCAGTGAGCAGGAGCAGCAAAACCACAGCTCTGGCAGCCTCACAGAAAAGGGACAAGGGAATGGCAAAGGGAGGAAGCAGGATCAGGTGTGTGCCCTGACAGCCCGAAATTCTCTCCAGGAACCAAGTGCCGCTTCCCTGGGCACTTCCTGGGGATGGGGAGGAGCGGCGTGGCAGCCTCGGACACACACTAACCCCACTGGAAACGCAATTAAGCTGAGCCTTCTGTCCACATCCTGCGGTCCGCCCGCCATGCCACTCCTGCCTCTCACAACAACAAAAACCCCCACCCAGGACTCTGCGGGTGGTGCGGGCTACGGTGCGTGCGGAGACTCACTGAGCCACACGTGTGCATCTCCAGTTAGTGGACACGCTTCAGCAGACACGAGGGAAAGGGGACTTTCCCAGACCTGCGAGAGTGCAGAGCAAACACGCCACTGAATGGCCTGAAAGACCAGCTCGGCCCTGGAAGGGAGCTGGGAGGGAGGAGCAGGGATGGGAGGAAAAGCAGCAGAACGCGCCCCAGGCAGGAAGGGTCACAGGGCTGCTTATGAAGGCAGAGAGAAACTGCCGAGTGGAGGCAGGCGCCGTGGACATGTGGGCACAGGAGGCAGGAGCCAGTGGCTCAGGTCACTGTCCTCACCCTGGTCCTTCAGACCCCATGACAGAGAGACAGACGGACAAGAGAGAGAGAAGACACACAGATGAAGACTGAGAGACATGGAGAGGTAGAGACAGATGGAGAGACAGACAGATAAACAGATAGAGACAGACGGAGAGAAAGACCGGAGAGACGGAAGACAGAGAGAGAGATGGAAAGATAAGACAGATGATGAGAAAGACAGATGAGAGACAGACAGACACAATGAGACCTGAGAGACAGAGACGGTGACATGGAATGCAGACAGAAGTCAACGTGGAACAGATTCTAGATACACGCATAGACGGGTGGAGAGGGAGAACACTGAAAGGAAATGCAAAGTGCTGCTTGCTAGAACTTAGAAGTGATTTATTGGAAGTCAGTTCTATCTGCTGATCTTTAAGACTGTCTGAACGGAAAGCGGGCTCTTTTCATTTACCTGATTTTTTGTTCACAAACGGCACGCACGAAATCCTGGACATGCGTCTGGGTAAAATGTCTGTCATAGTACTCCATCAGCTTGGCGTATATGGTAGGCACTGCCATAAACACACTGATCGGCGGCGTTTCAGAACTTAAGAACTTCTCCCAAACCTGCAGAGGAAAGGAAGCCCTCAGTACGAGGATGAGCAAGCAGGTACCCAGACCCACAGCAGAGGCTCCTGGCTCCACGCACGGTGTTCTCATTGGTCACATTCAAGAGTCCACAGCGCCTCCCATCTAAAAGCGATGCCTCATCCTCTGACCCGTTCTCACAGAAGTCACCTCGCGTGGGGCAACTGTGTGTGGCCTGAAAGAGGAAGAGCAACCATGGAGGCGGAAGAGCAATCGTGGAGGGGAAAGAGCAATCGTGGAGGGAGAAGAGCAATCGTGGGGGGGGAGAACAATCGTGGGGCGAGAAGAGCAATCGTGGGGGGGAAGAGCAATCCTTGGGAAAAGAGCAATCGTGAAGGGGGAAGAGCAATCGTGGGGGGTAAGAGTAA